AAAAATGTAATGTAAATTTCTAGTCCTTGAAAGTTATTATTATAAACTATTTAGGATAAGAAATGCAGGTTTGTTAACCTATATCAGTCAAACTTGTAGTCACGTTGGGTATGTTTTCAAGGTCATTTAGCAATGTATTTTAGCTAGAGAGATGATCTTCAAACACTTTAAAGACCTATAGAATATGGTATGACGGTGAGACACATCTGTTCCTGACAGCACCAATTTACCTCAAAAAAAGGATGGTAAGTATCAGAGAACCTCCATATGGAGTTTGCTTTCTTAGGGGCCAAAACTAGCCATGGGGCAAAAAAACTGCCCTTGCCTTGACTGCTGACAGTGTGCTGTCTAGACTGGACAAGCAGGAAACAAAGGAAAGTATCTGCTTAACTTTGCCAGGACAAGATAGGATAGGACAATCCTTCAAAATTCCTGCTTCACAGAAAAGTCTGTCAGATATTCTAGGTCTGTAGGTCAATGATGGATACCCCAACATTACAGAGAAACCTTGGGTGGTTGTCCAGGCAACCAGCTGTTCTATAGTTTTGGAAGTTGTTTGATCTACACTTCCTGTTTATTCAGGTAATAGTATATCCTTCTCGGGTCTCTGATGGGGTTGAAGAGAAGACAGTTATAGTTGCAGTTTTCTTTGTTACCAAATTCAGAAAAGAAGCTCCCAAAGGAGGTATAAAATGTATAGGGTTGAGAGACATGAAAGCTTAAATTGTTTATCTAGGAGAATGTTTTGAGGTCTAAAAGATAGTTTTGATTTAGTAATACAAGTTATGATAGAAAAGGGTTTAGGGCTGGGCGGTGGTGGCACACGCCTTTAATCCCAGCACTTGGGAGGCAGAGGCAGTTGGATCTTTGAGTTCAAGGTTTGAGGCCAGCCTTGGACTACAAGAGCTAGTTCCAGGACAGGCTCCAAAGCTACAGAGAAACCTTGTCTCAACAAACAAACAAACAACACTAAAAAAGAAAGAAAGAAAGAAAGAAAGAAAGAAAGAAAGAAAGAAAAAAAGAAAGAAAGAAAGAAAGAACAGGGTTTAGATATAAAATTTTGGGCTAAAGCCGGGGTGGTGGCGCACGTCCTTAATCCCAGCACTTGGGAGGCAGAGGCAGGTGGATCTCTGTGAGTTCGAGACCAGCCTGGTGTACAAGAGCTAGTTCCAGGACAGGCTCCAAAGCCACAGAGAAACCCTGTCTCGGGGAAAACAACAACAACAACAACAACAACAAAATTTTTGGGCTAAGCCAGGATAGATACAGTACTTTCTCCAAATTTGCTGAATACAAACAAACTAGACATTGTAAATGTAATTTGTATCTGATAATTTTTGCTTGTTTGTTTTTTTGAGTCAGGGTTCCTCTGTATAACAGTTAACAGTCCTGGCTGTCCTGGAACTCACTCTGTAGACAAGGCTGGCCTCAAGCTCACTCAGATCCTCTGCCTCTGCCTCCCAAGTGCTGGGATTAAAGGCGCGTGCCTCCATCACCCAGCTGATAATTGTTCTTATTGTATATGGTTTTACTGTATTTCTTTTTTTATTTAGACAAAAAGGGGAAATGTGGAATATTCCTTTACACTGTGTGAGGATGTCACTGTGACTGATTTAATAAAAAGCTAAATGACCAATAGTTAGGCAGGAGGTATAGCGGGGACTCTGGACAGAGAGATCTCTCAGAAGAAAGGTGGTCGGCAGCCAGTTGGAGAGGAAGCAGGATGGGGAGTGTAGAATAAAAGTAACCGAGCCATATAGAAGATTAAAAGGCGAGCACCACCACTGCCCGGCTAAAGCATCATCTCTAAAGTGCTGCAGTACCTTCTGATTGATTTCTGCTGCTGCTGTTGTTTTAAGACAAGGTCTTACTATGTATAGCACTGGCTGTCCTGGAAGTCCCCATGTAGACCAGGCTGACTCACAGAGATCTGCCTCTGCCTTCCTTTTGAACCTGCGGCCTGCCTTGGAAACTGCAACCTGCATCTTCTGGTGTGCTGTAGTCAGGGGTGTGTGTGTGTCTCAGGACTAAAGGTACAGTTCTTTCTCTGGCAAAGCCAGCAATGATAGCAGCCACTGGTCTTCATGGTTTGCCTCTACTTTTCTCTTCAGCTTTCCACTGTGTTTTAGTGGCTTGGAATCACCAGTGGTTCTCAGATTAGGTCACCCCCCCCCCCCACAATGGTTTTTATACATGCTGCTTCCTGTGCCTAGCACATCTACCTTGTTCAGGCATTTTTAAGATACTACTCAGGTGCCACTTCCTGTGGACCCTTGGACCCTTCCCCCTGCAGGTTGGATTAGATACCTTCCTGAGGGCTTCTAATCATGGCAACTGTCCACTTAACTCTCTGCCAGCCTTGAGTCCCTATTTGAGAACTCGGCACATCTTTTTATCAGCAGAGCTGTGTCTCATCCCTTTAGCTGTCCTTCAAGTTTGCTGAATGGACACAGGTCACTGATAGCCTGGGTACAGTCTCTGGTAAGCTTAAATACAGGGTGTATGCTAGCACTGGTTACCAAGACTGAGAAGAATAGTGGATTAGAGTCCTGCTTCGGCCAGGTGAGGGTTGAGATGGTTGTAGGACCTAGGTGAGCGTCTAGTGCTGGGATCAAAGATTTGTAACCTCCTGTGAAGAGACAGCAAACACAACAATGCACTGATGACTTCTCTGAGAACTTGGCAGAGGCCTGGCTCACAGACAATGTCCTGGGAGGTGTGTGTGTGACAGGATAGCTACTAATGCTTTCCTTGGATACAGCAGTTGGGAGATAAAATAAGTATTTTCAGTATTGCACATTATGGTGGCACAGGTCTATGATCCTAGCATTCCAGTGGCTGAGGCAGAAGGATCACGAATTCAAGGCCAAGCTTGGCTACATAGTGAGATTGTCTCAAAAAGTAAAACACAACACAACAACAACAAAAAAACAGACACACAAAAAAAATGGGGGTAGTGGATAGATGGCTCAGTAGTTAGATCTGATGCCTGGGGCCTATACACGTGCATATCCATATGCAAACACACACACCTACTCACAATTAAAGATAAATCTCTGAGGGATGGCTCAGTGGTTAAGAGCACTGACTACTCTTCTAGAGGACCCAGGTTCAATTCTCAGTACCCACATAGCAGCTCATACCTGTCTCTAACTTCCAAGATCTGACCCCCCTCACATAGACAAACATGCAGGCAAAACATCAACACATATAAAATAAAAATTATTTTTAAAAAATCTCTGAAAATTTTAAATGGAGCTGGGTATGATGGCACATACCTTTAATCTCAGCACCAGGGGAGGCAGAAGCAGGAGGATCTCTATGAGTTCGAGGCCAGCCTGGCCTACAAGTGAGTTCCAGGACAGCCAGGGCTACATAAAGAAACCCTGTCTTGAAAAAAAAAAACAAATACCAAAACCAAACCAAACCAAAATTAGTGGTGAGCTAGTTCAGCAAGTAAAGGTGCTTGCTGCTAAACCTGATGATTTGTAGGACCCACATGTAAGGAGAAAAGCAGCTCCTTGAAAGTGTCCTCTCATCTCCACACGTGTGCGCAACACCCCCCACCAAATGTAATAGAAGTCAGTGTAGAGTTGGTGCAGCCGACATAGGTCTTCTTTACCTGCTCACCAAAATGCACCCCATCCTTAGACGAGGTCTGTGACAACCTGGGGGCTGCGTTTCTTCATCTTAAGGTCTAGGCCAGCACTGCTGTCTCCTGCTTGACAGAAGGAACTGTTACTGCACAGCTTCGATTCTCCGTTCCTCCATGCTTAAGAGAAAAGCATCTTTTGTGAAGGGGGATGAGCAGCTGTTGTAGGTGTTATTCTGAGTGTACAGCTATCATTGTTAGCAGTTGTGACTGTTTCTAGGACCCTCAGGCTTAAGCCTGTCAGTTCTGGATGTTCCCTCGTAGGAGGGGGGAAGGATCATTGGACCCCAGTGAGCCCAAGTTCCCGTTGTCTCAGGCTAGGCACTGAGCGAGGGCCAGGGAGCAAGGCAGGAAGACCCTTGACTCGGCAGCCCAGGTCAGCAGGGCCACAGCCTGAAACGAGATATGAATGACAGCAGCTCCGTTGAGACTCTCCCGGGCGTCACTGCTGGAGATACAGCTTTATAAGTCATCCCGGCTCCCGTTTCCCATGGGTTTCAGGGGTCATGGCCAATTCTTTCCCAGCCAGCTCACCAGTCTTCTCTGGGGCACTTTCCCCAGCCCTCATTGGCTTCTGGTTCTCAAGAGTTAAATACTATTAACCAGCCAGGAAAGTCTGTCCCTCAGCCGGTTGGGCTCTGGATTTTTCATAGCGGGGCTTCTAGGCACAGGCTATAGGAGTTAACTGTCAGTCTGCCCATTTGCCGCTGTTTCTTGGGTCTACACCTGCATGGTGAGGCCAAGTTTTGTTCCTCTTTCGTGTGAGCCTTCATCTTGGGTACCTCTAGGGAGGCTCTGTGTCTAGGCCCCTGGGAGTGTAGAAGAGTTACACCCAGGACATTGGTAGTGGTGGCTAGTTGGTTTTTTTTTTTTCCTTTGTCTTTTGAGACAGGGTTTCTCTGCATAGCTTTGGAGCCTGTCCTGGAACTCACTCTGTAGACCAGGCTGGGCTTGACCTCACAGAGATCTGCCTGCCTCTGCCTCCCACGTGCTGGTTTGTCAGAGTACTTTATCACAGCCGTGGGAAACAAAACTAGGACACTGACCCCATCTCAGGTCAAGGAACAACAGGAAAATAACTCAACAGACAGATCCAGGCTCCAAGCCATCCTCCAGCCAGAGCTAAGACCACTTGGACTTAGAAGGGAAGGATGGGTGTATATGCCTTGGGAAGTGGGGTCTGACACAGGAGCAGTACCCACCCTTCTGGGCAGCCACGTTCACTCCTGTTCCGTAGTGAAGGGACACAGAAGCAAACTCCTTTCCATTCGTGCTCCTGGCTTATTCTGTCTGCTGAGGGTGGACAGTGGCAGTAACAGAGTGAGGGGCAGAAGCACAAGGCAGTTGGTAAGAAATCACCAGTTTATTGAATGAAAAAACCCAACATGGCCCCAGTCTTCCCACCCCACTTATTCTCAGGCCCAGCCAGGAGACACTCTGGACAGTAGGGCTGGGCAGTGGAGAAGGACGTGAAGAATCTAGGCTGTGGAGAAGGAGAAAACATGTCCCAAGTGCAGTTTCGTGCCACACTGCTAAGAAGCAGCCAAAGGGCAACAGAGAAGCTCCAGAGGTGCCGGGGCATGGAGGCTGAGCTGGCTCTGTCCCTTCTCAGCCTCTCCTCAAGACACTGATAAGGAGGCTGAGGTAGGTCTGGGACCCATCCATGGCAGAGAGGGAAGGCAGCTGCCGGGGAAGACCTGGTGGAAATGGGCTTCTTTCCGCTGCCCTGCCACGGAGGAAGTAAGGAGACAGAGCAGTGAAGGGGAGGCAAGCTGACACAGGAAAGGGAGACATATGGCTGGATACGAGTCACAGACAATGTATGTTGGGGAGCAGGGCTTGCTGCCTCCTACCTCATGAAACCAGTTATCTTAGGTGGGAGGATGGGAGGCAGAGGAAGGAAGGAGCCTCAAGGACAGGACCTGTGCACAGGACAAGTTACCCAACCAGAAAAAAAAAACCCAAAAAAACAAAAAGAAATAAAACCAGACACCACTCAGGACACAAGACACCCACATGGACTTGAGGTGACAGGAAATCGTGCATGGGAAGAGAACTGGGAAGGCCCCTCCATCCCAGAAACGTCAGGATGCTTAGATGTCCCCCCGACTCTACTGGGAAACTGTGGTGCAGGTGAGGTCGCAGGAATGGTAGGAGGCCCCAGCCCTGTAACAGTTATCATGTAGGGGAAGGCAGGGTGTGTAGCAACTAACAGAAGAGCCTTGGAAATTGAGAGCCTGGTGGCCAGGCTATGGTAAAGTGCTGGGCTGTCTCCCTGTGTACCAGTGCTCCAGAAAGGGAACTGGTGCTGCAGGGGTGAGTGATGGGAAGGACGGTTCAGATTATCCAATTATAGGGATTATGGGCACCAGAAGGCAGAACCACCCAGCTCTGGGCCTAGAACAGGATGGAGGAGGGTAGTCCAGAGAAGGGCTGGGCAGTGAGAGGGGAGGGCTGCATCCCCAGTGGCAGTGTCCGTCAGGACCGGGCATATAGAGGCAGGCCCCAGTGCTGGGAAAGGGAGGCTGGGCCGGGGCTTGCTCGCCTTTCCCTGCCTGCAGGTAGTGAGGCTGGGTGGCAGTGCCAGGAGGGAGTGGTTGGGAGGCAGGGTCTCAGGTGGTCTTGCTGCCACTGAAGAGGCCCACTGGAAAGTGCTTGACATGAGTGGGCCACTGGGCAGCCAGCTGGAAGAACTTGATGTCACTCCACTCCACTCCATCGATGGACACTAGGTGACAGAAGAGAAAGATTGGGGCTAGCGAACCATCTCCCTCTCCTCCCTCCCCTGCTCTCACCACCACCGCACCTCTCAGCATGGTCTGCTGCTGCTTTGCAGAGCAGATGAGGCGGCTGATGCCCTCGATGACCTGGCTCTTAGAATCCACCTCCTTTTCCCGGGGCTTCTTGCTCAGGAAGATAGTGGGCACTGGAAAGGCAGCGGGAAGCACCTGTCACAGACTTGGAAAGCAGCCATCCCTTTCCTTCCCAGCCCATCTGCTTCCTTCTTGCTGGGGATGGAGAGGTAATGTGCTCCCCAAGCTCCCTGGCCCTGCTGTTTGTAAGGAACTCTAAACTCCTGTGTCACTTTGCTAAAGGTTCTGCATTTCTGCCTGGGCCTATCTTCACCTGCACAGTGAGGCCGTGGGGCTGAGGAGTGATGAAGTGGCAGGTGTTTTCACTACCCCCACCCAACAAGTGGAAGTACTCCCGCTGGTTCTACTCTGGGAGGAGGGTAGGCAGGGCAGGCCCCTGCTGAGCTGCTGGAAGGTCCCTATGCCAGTCTAGTGGTGAGCCAGGCGTGCAGCCCTTGGGAGAAATCTGGGAGGAGGAGAGACTCCCAGAGGCACAGCTGCTCGGGAGCTCCTATAGGGGCAGATTTGGGGTCATACAGGACATACACTGCAGATACACACAGCTACAGTGTGATGTAACTCTCCTGGAGAACAGGACCCACGACTACTAAACAACTCTGCTCTGGATGCTTTAATCTCCCTGCTTATTCACAATTGGCTGTATTCTCCTCCCCACGTGTGTGTGTGTGTGTGTGTGTGTGTGTGTGTGTGAGACTACTGTGAGGTAGTGTCTCATTATGTAGTCAGGCAGCCTTGAACTTGTAATTCTCCTGCCTCGGCCTCCCAAGGGATTACAGATGTGTACCTCCAGGCACAGATCCTCATCAGATCTTTCGTTCCGGAAGCTTCCCTGGAATGCCTTCCATCCCTTGGCATGAGTGTTCTGCTCTAAAACCATGGTGGCCATGGAGGCGGCCATCCCATATCCATCCTGAATACAGTGGCCTTGTCCTCTAGGTGATGCAGAGCTGGCTTTTGGGTCTTAGGCTGATCTCAAGATCTACATACTAATACACGCATCCTATCCAGAAGCAGATTCCTGCCCAGACCCTAGGACAGGGACTTGGAGGGAGGCCACCAAAGTCTGCTGGCCTGGTGTCCTCCCTGGCCTACCTTTCTTTCTTTCTTTCTTTCTTTTTTTTTTTTAAGTATTTATTTATTTAGTATACAGTGTTCTGTCTGCACATATCCCTGCAGGCCAGAAGAGGGCACCAGACCCCATTACAGATGGTTGTGAGCCACCATGTGGTTGCTGGGAATTGAACTCAGGACCTTTGGAAGAGCAGGCAAAGCTCTTAACCTCTGAGCCATCTCTCCAGCCCCATGACCTACCTTTCTTGTTCTTCTCTTTGGTGACAACAGTCATTGCCATGGTGCCAGAAAGTTGGGCTTCTCCTGCATGTGGCAGGCGAGAAACCTGCACCGAGCGGAAGACACTCTTAAGAGTATTCTTTGAGCTGGCATCCCTCTTGTCACCTTCTCGCCTGCGTTCCCCGGGGTGGCCCAGCCAGTAGTCCACCTGAAGGCCAATCACATCCCCATATGGGCTATTTGGGCTCCTGGAGAAGTGAAATGAAAACAACATGTTGGCTTTGAACTCAATGCCTAACCACATGGGAGCAATGAGGGATGGAAGATACTGCTTTTGGGAGCAGGAGATGGGGAGGAAGGCCAGCCAGCTGGCTATGTTTCTGCCAGTGACATAGAACCTGCTCATGTGGGGGTGGAGAACTGGGGTGATTTGAGAACAAAGCCCAAGTCACTGTGAGAAAATCAAAACTGTCACAAAATGAAGGAAGCAGAACAGAAAGATTTATAAAAGTGTACACTCATACACAAACACACATGCACACACACACACACATGCAAGCAAAGCCAAGGCCCAGAGTAGGCAGATGGCTGGAGAGAAGCAGTGGGCAGGGGCTGAAGCAGCACCATGGCTTCACAGCCGCCTTGGGAGCCAAGGGATGCTGCCCTGCACTTTTGGTTATGTACGACACTTTTAGCTCAGTGATAATTTTAGCTCCTGGGGGAAAATGGAGTGTTTTCTTGAAAGAAGGCGTCAGACACAATAGGTATCCAGGCTATGAAAGTCATCTGACTTTTCCTTCTGCTGGTGGCTCCATTAAAGACAAGCTTAAACTGGATGAGAAAAGAGGTCAAGGTAGGGGTTGGTTCAAAAGTCCTGAAATCCAAGTTGGACAAAAGCCCTTCATGCAGTGGACGAAACAGGAGAAAGGAGGCTTCCTAGAAGTCACTGCTGAGGCAGAATGTGGCTGTGTTCCTAAACTGTCTCTTCCATGGACAGCAGAAGACCATGAAGGGGATGTAAGGAGAAGGGCTGGACCCTAGCCCAGGGCCCATTCCTTCCTCAGAAGAATAGTCGTGGGCACACCTGAAAACCTACTGGGAACGCTTCCCCATTGGTAGCTGTGAGGAAAGGAAACAGTGAAGACAGAAGAAAGAGTGAAAAGATGTTGGATACTGTGCCTGGCCACACCTAGCTTTTCTTTGCTCTCTACCTCATTACTTAGGCTTGTCCCCCTTCAGACATGGCAGAAAAGCAGCTTGCTGGCCATCTCCCTCAATTTTAAGTACCTGGAATCCTAACGTCACCTCCCTCCCACCACTCCCTGCAGTCTCAGTTACATGGTCTTTGCCATCTCAACATTGTAGGCCCAGCCTGGAACCTCCTGTGGCACAGGTACAAAGAGGGTGTCAGCCACTCTGAGGCAGTTCCCATACTGACAGTGCTGTTGCCAATCAGGCCTCACAACATCCTTGTGAGCTGCTAGTTCACCTCTGCACACAGCAGAAACCAAAGTTCAACAGCACAGGATGGGGAGCCACCTAACCCAGGCATCCTTGACTCACAATCCCATGCCATTCTTCCAGCTCCAGCACAGTGGTTCCCAACCTTCAGAATGTGCTTTCTCGTGCTGTGGTGACCCCAACCATAAAATTATTTTCATTGCTACTTCATAACTGTAATTCTCCTACTTTTATGAACTGTAATGTAAATATCTGTGTTTTCTGATGGTTTTAGGTGATCCCTGTGGAAGGGATTGTGACCACAGGTTGAGAACTACTGCCCTAGGTCCTGTAGGAAGCTACTTGAACCATACTTTAATAGCCCACGAGGGCCAGAGACTCTGTCAATACAGCCCCAGCTGACCCCACAACAATGCAGAGAAGACAAAGCAAGAAGCGTCAAACTTCACTGAACTTTCTTGCAATGTCTCAGTCTCTGAATTTCAATCTGTGCCAGTGCTCTCACCCAGGTGGCTGTGTTGTGCCAGTGTGCCATGCCCGAGAAGGGAGTAGGCCTGGCTAGAGGAACATGGACAGACAGGGTTGGGAAGAGCCTTACCCCACAATAGCGAGGGCACTGCTCATGGATGGGGATGAGGGAGGGGTTGCTGTGGCATCTCGGCTCAGGCCTGAGCTTGAGGGTGGTGATGTGGAGGGCACAGTAAGGCTGACCACAGGTGAGTCGTCTCCATCGCCTGTCAAAGGGACAAACACAGTTGGTCACTGGTGGCAGGAAGTATGCTTTCCTTTCAGGGGACCCTAGGGCACCTTGAAGGAGCGGGGCACATACCTTCTTATTCAACTCAACCAATTACACCCCGGAAGATGAAAAGTGTGACCCTCACTCAGAGTAGCAAAGGAGCTTTAGCTCACCTGCAGTGGACGGCGAGTCTTCAACAAGCCCCACTTTCACAACCTGGAGGGAAGGGACATGTATTAGGTCCTCTTCCAAGTCCAAATCCACTTGTTTACAGATGGCCAGCACCTCAGCCATGACCACATGGTGTTTTGTCAATAACTAAAAATCTTTACATATCTGGAACAGTCTAGTATTTAAAATGATCCACCCCCACCAAAAAAAAAAAAGGAAAGGAGAAAAAAGAATAAGAGGTCATGGGCTCGGTAGTAAAAAGAGGCTGCAGGTTCCATCCTTGGCACCATAAAACTAAAAGAAAGAAAAGAAGTCAAGTTCTGTGAGGTGGCCATAAGACTTGGCATTCCTTCTCTGGGGGTTAGGGCAGAGACTACTTTGAGGGCAGTGTCCTGACCTTATTTCTTCTAAGAGCAGCCTGGCAGGGGCCTAGGAAACTGGTCTGTGTCAAGGCAAGTGAGCTGTGGGTGTAGATACAACGTTCCTACTTCCCACTTTCCTGGAAACTGAAGTAACCTAGGAGGGATGTCTCAACAATTTGACATGGACAGAGTATTCTGGAAAGGATGGAGTGGGCCCTCCAGTGGCCAGAAAAAAGATACAGCTAGAGGCAATGTGGCTAATATATTCTTGTGTTCTAAATGACAGGTGTGTGTGTGGAGGGGTCTGGGGTCATGGCACTGGGAGACAGCCTATGTAGCAGAACAGTTGGGCAGGAGGCCAAGGGCTGGGGCTGCTACAGCAGAGATCATGTGCCTTTTTCAGGTGGCTCCTGGAGGATACTTTGGGGCTTCCTGAATACATAGCTACCCCCTCTCTAGTTCCCCTGGCAGTTTGTGAGGCTGCTAGTTAATCCATTTTTTTTTCTTTTGAGATGCTGCAAATGGAACCCAGGGTCTTTTATGTCTTTTTTCCTTTCCCTTTTGCTTCAAGTTAGGGTTTCTCTGTGTAGCCCTGGCTGTTTCGGAACTCACTCTTTAGACCAGGCTGGCCTCAAACTGAGATCCGCCTGCCTTTGCCTCCGGAGCGCTGTGATCAAAGGCGTGCACCACCACTGCCTGGTGCAGAACCTAGGGTCTTATGCATGTGCTCTGTGACTGAGCTATGACTGAAAACTTTATTTTAAATGTCTCACTTGGTTCTGAGAGTCCAGAGACTGACAATTCATGTTCCCAGTTTCTTGAAGGCAGCAGCTATACTGCCAGCCCGGGTGGCAGCCAGGATTCTGAACTGCTACGAGCTATGGGAGTCTTCCAAGGGCTAAGGAGGCAGTGAATAACTAGGTGGCTGGAAAGGTCAGTAAGCCTGCTGATCACCCTGGATGTGACCACTCAGGACATCCTTACATGTCCTGCAATCAGGACAGGGACAGTTAAACCCAGGCCTGCTTAGCTCTTCCCCTATAAAGACTGTGAGATATTTTCAAGATTATAGGATATAAAAGTCAACTTTGGGGGCGGTGGTGGCTCACGCCTTTAATCCCATCACTCGGGAGGCAGAGGCAGGTGGATCTTTGTGAGTTCGAGGCCAGCCTGGTCTACAAGAGCTAGTTCCAGGACAGGCTCCAAAGCTACAGAGAAACCCTGTCCCGAAAATAAAAAAAAAAAAAAAAAAAAAAAAAAAAAAAAAAAAAAAAAGAGTCAACTTTGAAGGGCAATCAGAATGTCCTCTGAATGGAAACACCAGTTTTTAGCCCTCTGTAGGGTTAGAACTCCTAGGTTCCTGAGATCAAAACACTGATAAAAAAAAAAAATCAAAGGTATTCTTCCTTTATTTCAAGATAAATTCACTTGCATTTCACTAATCCACTAGTGTACACATCTGCATCAGAGAGGCTTTTCCTTAAGGTCAACCTGTGAGGCAGCTGGTTCTAGACTTCTCAGAATGCCAAGGTTTCATTATTTCTGAGGCCACTTCGTTTTCTCTGAGCCGGGAGAAGCCACACTGTGGACTGAGCTCCAGAGATACACGACCCCAAGTTCATGGCTCGGTACAATAAATAGGAGACACCAATAACTAATCTGGGGACAGTTCTTGATTAGGGAAAGGATGTTGCTCTGTAATTCTAGCATTTAGGAGGCTGAGGCAGGAGGATCACAAGTTCAAGGCTAGCCTTAGCTAGAGATTCTACTGCCTCTGCTTCCGGAGTTCTGGATTGAACAGTGTGTGCCACCATGGACAGCCTTTTCTTGTATGGAAGGAAAGCAAGAAGGCTGGGAGGCTGGGGTTGGAGGAGGGGAGCAAGTACGTACACCAATGAAGGGAATAAACTTCTGATAGGAGTCTTCGTCAGGGCTGTTGGGAAACAGGAAAGGATTGCAATTAGTGGGTTTGCAAGAGTGCCGGACAATTAAGCTCCCCACACTGAGTTCTGCTCAATGGGGTCCAGAACACACGGCTATAGCTTCCTGTCACACTGCAGGGAGGCCACTCCTTGAGGACAGAATGGAGAGCACAGAACAAAGGCAAACAGCACTGCTCGGACTTGCCAACTGATTTTAATCACTATGGAGGAAATAACTGATCGACCTGCAAGGAGGCTAAGAAGTCAGGCATGTCCTCTTGTCCTCTATGACAGGAAGTGGAATTGTGGAAAAGGAAAATATGAAAAACGAAAGGATTCAAGGTTCCTCTAACTTACCCAATCTGTTTTTTGTCTGTTTTTTCCTTTGGTTTTCTGAAACGGTTTCTCTGAGTAGCCAGCCCATGCTGTCCTAGAACTCACTCTGTAGACCAGGCTGGCCTTGAACTCAGAGATCCACCTGCCTCTGTTCCCGGGTGCTAGGATTAAAGGTGTGTGCCACCACCATCTGGCTACCCAATCCGTTTTTTAGAAAACTCCTGTTAGACTTACAACTTATGCCTGCAGGTTAACATGGCTTCGGCCACAGGCAGCTGGTGCGTTGTGGCTGCTCCATTGACATACTGCATCACACGACCCACCACATCCAGTGGCTCTGCAGAAAAGCCAGGAGGGACGTGTCCATTTTAGTGTGCAGCTATACAGACCCTCAGAGAGGCCCCTAAGTCCCCAAGGCAGGGTCCTCAGAGCTGAGATGAAGAAAGGATTCTAAGATCCTCTTGGCCATACATCAAAGGACTCATAAACCAAAGCACAGTCTTCCCTGACCTTAGCTGTACTCTGTTGCTAGCATCACCAGTGGATGGTATGGGGATACCTGCTGGCACAATGTAACTCATTCAACAACAGACTATATCAGTGGCATTCCCCATTGCCTATTTCATCTCTACAAGCAGAGCTGGCCCACGTACCAGCCATATGACCTCCTTACTTTTAGCTGTAGGCAGAAGCTATCCTGAGGAGAGGGTCACACAGGGTATACCTACATTAATGAATACCAACTGGGAAAGGGGTAAGAGCTACAGGAATGGGAATAAGGTTGCTCCCCACCCTCTTCAGCTGCATGGGGGAACCAGAAGCCTCAGTCCCTGAGAGTTTCCTTTAGGGACCTTACCTGACACTGGGGGCTCTGAGCGACTGAACAGGTCTCTCCAGGCAGAATCAAGGAAGGTGCTGCTATATCTACTATCTACTGAGCCCAAGTATTTGGCCACTGGATGAGAACCTGGCAGATGGAAAACCAGACAGAGTAAACGGTTAGTGGGTAGAATAAGGGAAGCAGCTATCCCCAGCCAAGGTTCAGCCTTTAGTTTCCCTGATCAACTCCCATTCTGCAGGAACCGAGTCTGCTGACAAAGTCTCCTGAATGCTGCCAGACTTTACCTAGGGGAATGATGAGGAAGCGCATGTAACCCAGCCAGTCCGGCGTTTTGCTGGCAAGGGACTTGACAAAGAACCGGAGAATGGAGCTCAGATAACTCTGGCTGCCCACAGCTGCCACCTTGACCGGCCTCGGCATGGATGAGTTACAGTTGCAGCTAAGGAGAAAGGGGACACACACCATTCTTAAGTCTCAGGCCTCAAGCTCTGACTTCATGCATTTCTAAAAGCCATGGGGACGCATGCCAAGAAACAAAATGATACAAGGAGGCATCAAGCATGTGCTGCTCGAGAGGGAGGCAGCTTCCATGGAGGAGGCTGATGCTACAAGGACAAGGTGCAAGTGCTGCCTGTGGGGCCCAGAACCCTGGAGTCTCCTTGCAGTGTCACCTGGGAAGATGTGACAGGGCCTCCCTCAGATGGCCCTGGAGAGGGAAACAGGATCCCATTAAAAAACAGAATGTTACCATTGAGGGAAGGAATTTAAGGTATTTTTAGAACCCTGGATTCTGTTCTTTATCTTGGGCTTATGAGAAAGACGAGCAAGCCAAAGTGAGGCATGAGTCCAGGATGTAAAGGTGGCAGGGGCAGAAGGTTCAGGAGCTGATATTCTAGGGGCTTTGAGCACTACTGCTGGCTCTGTCTCTAAGTACAAGCTGGAGCTGCAGCTTCCTAGCCTGAGAATATTGCCATTGCTAGAATTCAGGGTTGGAAGGCGAGGTAGAGGAACCAGAAAACATTGTAAGAAGAAAAGCCAGAGCCCTTACTAGCGCTGAATCCTAGTGAGCAGGGCAGACAACACGGCCTGGACCTCCACTATTGAGCAGGTGCATACAACAGGCTTCCTCTGGTCTTGGAGCAGTTCAGCCACATACTGCAGGGGAGGAAAACAGGGACATAGGTAAGCCACATCACTCCCCACAGATGCTGAGAGGTCAGGCAAGGCCTAGACTGAGCTGTAGAGCCCCTGTCCTCTGGCAAAGATAGTCAGGTTTCCTGGCTATGTGTAAAAAAAGGGCACAGCAGAACGCCATGGAAACATGCTAACTGTGAAGTGGAAAGGATTAAAGGTTCCAAACATCACCCATATCTAGGCATCTCTGGAACCAATGTCTTACAAGGCAGACAGTAAATGGCGGATGAAGTCACTCTCCTGCTTCCCTGTGTGCTGTTTCAAGTCACACACTGGGAACATCTATAGACCCCATATCCCTTGACCCTCAGTGTTCTACCTGGCCCTGCCAGTCTGTGGTGTTCACCAGGATGACATTTTCTGGGAGGGCTGCATCGGATACCAGGATCTGATTCAGTTGGTCATATACCACCTTTCTTGGAATCTGCAGAAACAAGTATTGATTGGGTATTGCCCAGAGAGGTGGGAGTAGATAGAACTCCTGGCACAGGGTAACTAAGGATGTGTGGGGACACTCTCCCATTGACCACACTAAAATGGAGATGAGAAGAGGAAGATCAGTGTCCTTGGCGAATACAATGACATACTAGGCACAAAGTCACAGCAATGGTTTGTTCTAAGGCAAGCCTGTGGGGCTGGGAAGCAATAGCTTCCCATGAAGGGCACGACTCCCAGATAGCAGGGTGAGAAGTTGCAAGCAGTAAGCTGGTGCTTGGAGAATGCAGCAAGGGCAGTGGGGAGACAAATAATGAGAAGCAGCAGGCACCATGTGGGGCCCACTGTCCCAGTGGAACAGCGATTAAACAGAAGGACAATACTTCACCCTAGGGGTCAGGCTATTCTAGTCTCAGGTGCGTTTGCAGATTTGTGGCAGCAATGAATTTAGGAAGTCATACGACCCCAACTTTGTCCTTTCACAATATTTATCAGAGAAACTTGGCTGCATAACTCTAGGAGAAGAGTAACCAGCTTGGGTTACTAGCTGCCTTGACTCTGATACCAGTATCACAGTAAGGACTACTCGCCAGGTCTGTTTTATGCTCACATCTCCAGCTAACCTCAGGCTTGAGAGTGACTAAAAAGAGTTTGGAATAGCCGTGGCAGCTCATTGACTGGAGAACAACGCCAGCAGTTCCTATCCAGAAAAAGTCGAAACTCCTACCCCTCAACTCAGCTGGACACCACCACTCAACTGCACCCCAAATTCTACATTAGCAGATAACAAATGTGGTAGACTTCTCTAACTTAAGTATCTCAGAAAAACATTGGAGTCAACGCTTCCAACATCCCTCCTTCTTCTCTACCCAACTGTCTAAGAAACAAACACTGAAATCCAAGGGAGGGGTTGTGATCGATGACAGGAACCCAAGATTACCTGTGTGCTGTGGCCCAGGTCAGGAGACCGCTCACTGTCAGAGCTGTTGGTCCTCTCACTCAGGGGCTTGGAGAGCTGCCGCTCCTTCAGGGGCGTGCTCCTCTTCTGCCGGGGGGTGTGTGTCCCTTCCACCTTGCTGATTGTAGCAGGGAGGGGGTTAACAGCCTTTCTAGTCCCAAAGTCACATCAGCCCAACCACTTTCCCACATGTAATCGGCATTGAGTATGGCTGCAGGTCTGTGTTACCTGCTTCCTTCCTCTCTGGAGTACCTGGGGGAGGCAGAGCCCTGCAGATCTGTTTTGCTGGACTTCATAGGAGTTTTGACTTTTTCTGGTACAATTAGACTTGTGCTCACATCTCCAAACATGTCCTGATCAGTGATTTCCTGCCGCAAAAAAAGGTGACAAAGAACGTTACCTCTTTCTTGGTAACTGTGCAGGAGACTCCTCAGCCCTGCTAGAACCTATCTTCACTTTGAGGACCACCATTTTCCTTGGAAGCATCTGAGTGGGAGCACATGGTTCTAATATTCTGATCCTAGGAGGAAAGTTTAACTACTGTCCCATTGTGTTGGATACCATGTGCTCCTATCCAGGCACAAGAGGGAGTAACCGATGACAGTCCATCTCTAGGTTGGTGGGGGAGCCTGCATCCTTTTAGCTTTTCATTAGGACAGGGCTTGTGGTTCTGAAGTTCTGGTCTACATTTCTCACCTTGGGAAAAGAGCCTTGAAATCACCACTTCCTTCCTATCTGGGATACTGCTCCTGTCCATCTCTCCTTCCTTCCATCTCTTCCTTCCACCCTCTGTGTTCACAACTTTGCCTTCTCTCCTTCCTGCCGCTCACACCAGGTTGTCTTCCCAAAATGCAATGACAATCACATCATGACATGACTCAACCGCACCAACAGCTCTGCCTACTTAAGAGGCCTTTTGAAGCCTTCCCTGACCCCTGGATCACTTTCATAAATCAGTCTTCACCCCTTACTCCTTGAAGTACTGCTCTCCCAGTATGTCAGACTTGCTTACCTGCTTGCATCTGCTTGTCCACCCTTCAATTTTTTAACTGATTCTTTGTGGGTTTCACAACATGCTTCCAGATCCCATGACCCCATCCAGCTCCCTGCCCCTTCATATCAGCCCACCCAGTTTGCAACCTCCCCCCAAAACAAAATTCAAAAGAAAAACAATGAAAACATAAACCAAAACCAAAACAACCAAACTAACATATCCTTCAAAAATTTTAAGCATTCACTCCTTGAGGGATAACTTTACAAAGTATTCAATCTAAAATATAAACTTGACTCAAGAATAAAAAGATTGAGATAAGGTCATATGTATCCCAGTGTGGCTCTGAACTCCTGATCCTCTAGATCCTGCAAACGGGGATAACTGGCACGCACCACTACATCCAGTTTTATGTAGTGTCAGGGCTGTATGCATACTTGGCAAGTATCTATCAAAATGAGTTATATCTCTAGCCCCAACCCTGAATTTGTATGTGCTGGGGATGAAACTTAAGAGCTCAAACATATTAGAAAAGTAGTCTACCAATGAGCTACATCCCTAGCCTGAACTGAATTTCAATGTAAACAGGGCCCAGGACCATTCATTAGATCAAGACAGAGCACTCCAGCATACCTGAACTACGATTTCCACTCCTACAGTTAAGAAGTGTCCTGACTTCCGTATGGATAAGGAAATCCTATGGCATGAATGCTTTGCGCATCTACCTGCTTTCCTGGACATTGAGTTAAGATTAAGTCTGAGATTTGGTCAGTCATTGGAGAGTCTGAATCAGGAAGTGAGAAGATTGAAATTTTATCTTTTTTTGATTTTTCGAGGCAGGGTTTCTCCGTAGCTTTTGGTTCCTGTCTTGGAACTAGCTCTTGTAGACCAGGCTGGCCTCGAACTCACAGAGATCCACCTGCCTCTGCCTCCCGAGTGCTGGGATTAAAGGCGTGCGCCACCACGGCCCGGCTTTTGAAATTTTATCTTGAAAAGATCACACTGTATTGGTTGTGTGTAGTATGGCAAGCAGTGGGCAAGGAGGTAGGGGTTTGTTTCAATTATTAGTGAATGAAGAGGTAATGGTACAGTAGGTTTTAATCTTGGATAGACCTAATAATGCTTTATCATTTTATTTATTACAGTGGCTACTTACTACAGGAGACATAAGCCTAAACACTCTTGGACTCACTAAGGTCTTGCTATGTGGCTCATGCCTCAGATGGCATTTTGTAAAGCTCCCTCTCCTTGCCATCCAGTCTAGCTACTTGTCTCATTGGATATACATTTCCAGGTACCTTATGAGTGCGACCAACTCAGAGAATCTTCAATCTGCATCCCAGGGCCTCCATTGAGGCTTGTCCAGGTTTGCACAGCTGGCTTCCCCTAGGGAAGGCTCTGATAGCATCTTTGTATTCTCTGTGCTCAGCATTAGCAGGTGCACAGTCAACAGTTAAAGGCTTATGTGATGGTGTTCAACTGATTCAATCCTACTTCATGGGGGCTTTGAATTGCACTCCTAGGCAGTTCCAGCATCTCCTCAAAGGAGAAGCTGACCAGTGACCCTCAGAGGTTTTAACATCATGAGCTTCTTGAACATTGAGAAGGCAACAGGGATGGAGAAAGGGACAAATTCCCAGGAAAAGACACTGGACATTGTCTTTCAGAAGGAAATGAGGGTGACAGTGAGAAACTAGCATTTGGTCAGTTCTACTTAGGGAAGAGCGGGAACATTTCCGGATGACTTGTCTGGAGGAGGACCTTGGCCTCAAGGATGTGTCCCATTCCATGGATAAGGATTCCATGGGAAAGGAAACAGAATATTCTTTTTTTTAAAAAAAATCTATTTATTTATTATGTATACAGTATTCTCAATATTCTGTCTGCCTGCAGGCCAGAAGAGGGCACCAGATCTCATTACAGATGGTTGTGAGCCACCATGTGGTTGCTGGGAGCTTGAACTCAGGACCTTCAAAGGGCAGGCAGTGCTCTTAACCTCTGAGCCATCTCTCCAGCCCCCAAGAAACAGAATATTCACAAGCCTACACAGATTAAGGCAAAATGTTCAAGGTGGTCCTCAACATCTTTCTAAAAGGAATCAATCTATTACTCAGCCCCCTCTCTCTGTGTGTGTATCTCATTATGCTGCCTTGGCTGACCTAGAACTCACTATGTAGACTAGGGTGGCCTTAAACTCACAAAGAGCCACCTGCCTCTTGATGTGAGATTCTCCTCTGTACCACATCAGTCTCTGCCTCTTGACTAAAGGTTTTTCCCTATAGTTTTAAAGTACAAAGATAACCTGCAGTGATCAAAGCAGGAGACTGAAGCATACTTACCAGAGTATCTGTTTCAGTCAAGCTGTCATCTTGATTTTTAATCCAAGTAGATTTGACTTTTTCTAGAGCAGCCAATTCCATCTGAAAAAAATTACTAATAATTAATTATTCCTAATCCAAATAACCAGCACTCTTATTTTATGAAGTCCCCCCAAGAAGCTTAATATATTTTCACTTCATCCTCAACCTCATGCAGCCTTTAATGTTTTCATCTTTTGAGAGGAGATGGCGTGTGTGTGTGTGTATGTGTGTGTGTGTGTGTGTGAAAATTAAGCCCCAGAAGGGCTCGTTTGTTTCAGGAAACCATTAAGTATGGATCGGAGAGATGACTCATTGAGCACTTGCTGCTCTTGCAGAGAACTTGGGTTTGATTCCCAGCACCCATATCAGGTAGTTCTCAACCACCTGTAACTCCAGTTCAAGGAAATCCAATACCTCTTCTGGCCTTTGAGGGCACTCATACTCAAATGCATATTCTCATATACAAACATAATTAAAAATAAATATTTTAAAAATTATTAAGTAAATGATACACTGGGGTATAGAACTAGAAACTCTATTCTTTGTTTTTTTTTTTTTAAAAATATTTATTTATTTATTATGTATACAATNAAAAATATTTATTTATTTATTATGTATACAATGTTCTGTGTGTATGCCTGCAGGCCAGAAGAGGGCACCAGACCTCATTACAGGTGGTTGTGAGCCACCATGTGGTTGCTGGGAATTGAACTCACGACCTTTGGAAGAGCAGGCAATGCTCATAACGGCTGAGCCATCTCTCCAGGCCTTCTTTGCTTTTTATAGACAGAGCTTCTCTGTGTAGCCCTGGCTGTTGCTCTGTACATTAGGCTGGCTTCAAAACTCATAGATCCACCTGCCTCTGCCTCCTGAGTGCTGGGATAAAAGGTGTGTGCTACCACCACGCATGGCTCCGAGTCAGAAATTCTGACTCCCAGTTATGTAGTGCAAAGGGGCTTAATGTTGGGTAGTTTTCTGTTGAATCTGTAAAATTCTAACGTTTTTGCTTCAAAGGGACACATGGCACGGCACTGTCTCTGCTTGTCAAAGGTCTCAGTTCTGGACCTTCATTTTGAGACTAAAGACATCAATGGTAGTTAAATGTTTTGCTTGGTAGAAGGATCCATAAAACCTTCTAACAGTATATTAAGCAAAAGAGGTTCCATGTGAAGCTATCGGGTGTGAATTAATTCTCCACTGTCTTATTAGCATTTCTCAGAAATGCAAAGAGTTTATTAAGCAGATACAGATGCACAAGCAAGATTATTCATATTTGGTAATAATCTGGCCACACAAGCATCAAACCTACAGTTATAGGCCAAAGGGTGTCAGAATTTCTTTCTTCTAAGGAACCAAAAGAGGAAGAAAATATTTAGGATATCCCACTCAATCTCAACACTCAAAGTTCTCTCTGTATAGAAATATACATCCAGAAGAGACAGGCTAATTAAGTCCAGGATGCTGCTGAGTGACCAGCAAGGACTTGCTGGTCCTTGCAAAAGCAGCCTTGCTCTGCTACGCTCCACCCACGGTTTCTCCACCTGGACTGACATTTAGGGCTGCATCATCTGTGCACTGCAGGGTGTTCAGCAGCGTTCTTGGCCTTGACTAGTAGTAGCCCTATCCTGTTGAGTTAAAAATCCTTCAACCAATGGCAAATGTCTTTTGAGAGGCAGACTATCTCTAGTGGAAAACCACTGCTCGAAGCCATCTGCAAGACAAAACTGACATACCTGAGCTAGGCAGTGACCTCAGGGCTTGAAATGTGTAATGACTCATAGCCACACAGAACCAGGCTGCCTCCAGACTGCACAGCTAGTCGTCTTACACGATGCTGATTGACCAGCATTACAGTCTAGAATCTCAGAGAAGCCCTGCTTGGTTGGACCTAGGGTAGAAGCTCAGCACAAATTTCTAGTGGGTGGTTCTGAGGTAACACGACTTGTCAAGCCCTGAAACAGTTACAGTGCTGTTGTCACTGCAGCCTTTGGGAAGATCTCGTCCCCATCTCCAGGAGCTGTATTAAGGCATGTGACAAAGAAAAAGGGAGAAAATTCCTGACTTGTTGAAGCTCTGTTCCTGCTCAAACATGTGCAGGGATGGGCTGGGGTGTAGCTCAGTGACCTCAGCATGTGCCTGTAAGTGCAGCACCGACAGTGTGATGAGCCCGGTAACCTCCAGCAGCAGGCAGTCTGAGCTGACTGTGTCTTGGGCAGATGTCTTGAAGCACGCACAGCCTAAATTTACTCTTACCAGCAGAGAGAACCAAATTATGTTGCTACTATGTGTTGGAGTCTTGAGAAAATTCTATAACTGCCACAATTTGTGTCTGCTGCAATCCTTTCTGGATTTAATTCTCTAAATATTTGGTGCTTACAAGTGTAAGATTAAGAAAAATCCACAAGGGGCTGGAGAGATGGATCAGAGGTTGAGATCACTGTTTGCTCTTCCAGAGACCTGGGTTCAATTCCCAGTAACCACATGGCAGCTCACAACTGTCTTTAACGCCAGTTCCAGAGCTCTGACTCCCTCAACAGACATACATGCAGGCAAACACCAGTGAAAATAAATTAAAATTAATTATAAAACAAAAGAAAAATCCACAAGTCTGAAGAATTGGTGAGGGAATAACAGTACTTGCTGCTCTGGCAGAGGATTCAGGTTCAGTTCCTGACACTTGCACGGTGGCTCACAACCATCTGTAATTCCAGTTCTAGGGGATCCCATACCCTCTTCTAACCTCCGTGGGTACCGGGCACACATACATACACCAAGACAAAATATGCATACACAAATAAATTAAAATAAATAAAGAAAAAACCTGCATTAATGAGGATGATGTTATAGTATCTGCACAAGAAAGCCCTGAGTTCTATCCCTGCACCACAAAGAGAGAAGTGAAAAGGCTGGGCATGGTGGTGCACGCCTTTATCTCTGTGAGCCATGGGCCAGCCTGGTCTACAAAGTGAGTTTCAAGACAACCAGAGATACATAGTGAGACCTGAGATCCTGTCTTGAAAAAACAAAACAAAAGCCTCAAAAAAAAAAAAAAAAACAACCCCCAAAACAAAAACAAACAAACGAACAAAAAAACCCTAACGGTGCTTAGCAACAGGAATTGTCAAGGTGAGAGCAGAGGTGCAGAGCCCTCAGGTCAACAACCACACTTTCTCCTCTACCCGAAGCACTCCACTTCAAGAGCATGAGCACAGCCTTGTTCTACCATCCCAGTGTCTTCAACTAAAGGATTCCAAAGCTCTACACCCACACCAAGACATATGGGCTCTTCAAAATAGAATCTCAGCAGGGGAACAAAGCAAACCTGAGCTCTGGCCAAGGGAATCAGAATCTGAAGGACTTGTGTAAGACATTCATAGTCTGTCAACTGTGGGACCCCAAAGAGAAATGTGCTAAGGAACCACACTTCCTGTAAGTCCAGCAGTCAGCACACACACTGCTGAGGATGACCCACGGGATCTCACAGCAGCCCACATGGCCTTTAGAGCACGTGCTTTTCATGTAGGCTTTAAGATGTGGAAACAGTCTTGAGAAGAAGCAAGTCAATGGGAAGATGGAATAAAGATTCACTCTGGAAAACCCACCCTTCAGTTAAGGATTTTGTTTCCTTGTTTGTTTGAGATTAGCCTGCCTCTGTCTCCTGAGTGCTGGGATGAAAGCCATGCACTACCCATGTCAGGTTTGTTTGTTCTTGCCAAATCCAGGACCCATCAAACTTGCTACACTGCCAGCTCTGTCAATACTGAAACACGTCTTTCCCTCCTAGGAAACAGCTCCTCCTCTTGCTGATTTAGTAGTCATGGGTATTTACTGAACAATCAATCAGTGTATGCCATAATCTATGCTTACTGCTTCATGGTCATGGCTTGGCCAACACCTTACTTATACTCTGTCACAGTAGGACACGGCCCATCATCGCAGAGCTCTGTACAGTAGCCCTCCCTTCAGCAGGTCCTGGGCTTCTTCCCACAGCGTTACTCTAAGTGATTCTTATGCACATGAGAGAGGCTGTCTGTAGGATTCTTCCTATGGGGAAAAGCCGCTGAGTTATGCCCCAATGCTGTAGCACACTAAATGCTGCCTCCTTGACTCCAGATCACCGTGAACATGCTTGAGAGGTGCTGGCGTGGAGATCAGCAAGCAGCAGGGTGAACTTTCTTCATAATGTAATTTTTAATATGGGCATGGTTTTCCTTCTTTCACTTCCTGACTAGGAAACAGTTCATGGTGGGGTGGGTTGCCAGCTGCTCTTTAATAATGAAGAGAGATAGGAGGGGAGACAGCCCCACCTGGTGGCAGAAGGGAGAGAAGGGTTGCTGAGATGCCCAGAAGAGGGCACACAAAGGACAGGAGAGCCTGGCCAGCTGTAGACTGCTTGTCAGCAGATGGAGTGCCTGGTTCCCCACAGTGAACAGCCACTGTAGGGGAAGATGTGTATTCTCCCCTGTGAACAAATGACTGTGCCTCATCAGATGCCAAGGCAGCAAGAACTGGAGAACTTCAACTTCTCTCAGCAACAGAGAAACATGGCCCTAACAGAACAGCATAACTCAGTTCTAAAACTATATTCGGTGACCGCTTGCCTTTAATTGTGAAGAAAGACACAACTTCTTCTCCAGGTCTAAGGAAGGCTTGGCATCCACAGGCTGCTATCTATGACGAGCTGCTGGGAGCCACAGTAGAGAGCTCTCTCCTGCGCGCAGGCAAATAGAGACCTGTGCACTAACCGCACATTCTTCCAAAGTATTGCTCTCCCCTGAGTCCTTCATCCAGCAAAACCTACTTGCTACCTCCTGAACAGATCCTTCTGTCCTTTTATATTCATTATTTTCATAGCCCGAAGGCAGAATCAATACCCGCTGGCCAAATGGCATGCTTTATGCCCTACACTCTCAGCTACCTCACAGAGGGAGGGTTCTGAGGCAGGGAGAATGGCTCTATGCCATGCCGGAGCACAGTGAAAAGAATACTCTCCTCTTGGATTCCTAAGCTGCCAGCCAGGGATTAGAGGAGCAAAATTGAAGCCACACTCAGAGAAGTAGAGGGCTCAGAGTGAGAAGCCAACACGGTCGGTAGGCAGGTCCTTCTCCCGCCCCTTTTCACCATGAGTCTGCTCACAGGGCTGGTGGTGTCTTTTCCGAGGCTGCCCTTGCTGTTGAGGCTGCCAATCTCCGTCTGTGAGCTGGACTGCGACATCCCCTCAAAGAAGGGCCTGCAGCAAAGAAGCACAGTGGAGTCAGCGGCGATGGCAGCTCAGAAAAGCAGTTCCCAAGGCCGAGTGGGGCCGCTGATCCAGGCAGGTCAACAGCCTAGGCTCTGAGGACACTTATTAGGTAGATACTATGGGGTTGGTCAAGGGATTTCCAGAGACTCCTATGGGGATTTTTGTCAGTTAGAAACAAAACACTGATCTCCACCGGGAGAGTGAGAACTTGGAGATACTGAAAGCCATGACTCCCTGCATGAAGTATGAGAGGATGCAAGGGCCTCATGATGGAGGGAAAAGGGAGCCTTGCAGGCAGCCTACGAGGAGCTCTGGGCCTCACTTGAGCTTGGGCTTTGGGGTGCTGAGGATGCTCTCTGTTTCCTCCATTTCAGGCCCACTGTCACTGGGGTTGTACATCTCTAGACTGTCGTAGAGCTCGTCCAGATCTTCTTCCACTTCCCGAATCTGCTCCCGTGACACGTGTTCTAGCCCAAAGCCTACCTGTGAGCAAAATAAAGATCTATGAATCTGGGACTCTTTCTTATTATTAACATTTGTGGTTAGACAAACAACAACTGTCTCCTAGGTCACGTCAACCGGTATTCTCCGTAATCCCTTCTAGAGAGACATGCTAGTGTCTCTGTGCTGCCCCAGCTGTCCTGGAACTCACTCTGTAGACCAGGCTCTAGGCTGTCCTCGAATTCAGAGATCTGTCTGTCTCTGACTTCTAAGAGCTGGGATTAAAGGTGTGTGCCACACCACTGCCTGGCTCTCTGTCCTTTCTATGGTCTGATTCTGAGATCAGGGGCATGCTGAGGTTATGTTTCCTCTGAGCTACTACTGATATCCATAGCAGGGCTGGCAGCAGGGGAAGAGATGTGCTGGTGTGCCTCCCAAGGAATCACACAAGAAAACCCAGGTATGGTAGGCTGGTCCATCTTCTGTTCCCTCAAATTCAGGTACAAGCTGCTTTTCTTTTTCTTTGCAGCACACAGTGGAACAAAGACCTTTTTCCAACATTTTCTATCTTTATTCATTTTTAGTTTACTTAGAAGCCTGTGTGAATGAAGGCAAGACTCCAGGGCCTAGGGGATTCTGTCAAGAGCTGACTAATGAGGACATCACACTCGGGCTATTGCTCACTTGCAGCTCCTCTTGGGCTATGAGGAAAAATTAAATGGCTAGATTTGTCAATAGAAGAGAATTGAATATTGACTAATGATTGGATATGACTGTGCTAAGTGTTTCAAATACCATGGAACTGCACTCTCCATGTGAAGCCTTTACTCTCTCTTGAGCTGCCTTCTCTCCTGGGCTCTGTTATGCATGCAAGTGGGCAGGACTCTTGATTCCATGATCCTGATGACTAGTGGCTACACAGGACCTAGGTATGAAACTGGAAGTAAGGGCGTCATACCTCATCGGAGACTTTGAATCGTTTTAGGAGGGCCACAAACTTCTGTTTGATGTTAGGTTGCTGTGGGAACAAATTATACAAATTATTCTCATGTGACACTTACTGAGGCCAATTAAAGAGAGTCTATCAGGCTCTTACCCTCACAAGGAACAGGAGAAGAAAAATAGCAGCTGCACTTGCACTGAAAACCTCTCTAGAAAGACAGGCAAAAGCTGATGCAGCCCAGGGCCCTGGGCAGCTAGCTCAATGGAGATCTCATCCCCCAAGGAGGCCAATGACTTCCAGAGGTACAGCTCTAGCCCACCTTCTGTTCTGTCCAGCATATGCAGGTACCAGCTGGTGAGTGTCCTGTACCTCCATGATCAACATTTCAGAATGGCATTTGTCATCTTCTTGCACAACCATCTTGGGTAGCAGTGTCACCAACCCACTTAAGACTACTCCTGGAGTTTTTCCAACTCTGTCCCATCAGCCTGCAATGCACACTGCCAGAAGAGGCCATTTTTTCCTCTGTGTCATGACTGTCCCTATGCACTCACCCTGCTGTGTCAAAGTGACTTGCTGGGATGAGTTTACACTTCCAGGCCATAGAATTCACTGATGGTCCGGCCTAGGCTCCTTGATCCATGTTTCTTGCTCTGATTTAGGTACCAGGCTGAGTTTTTGGTCACACATATTTCTGGCCTAAATAGCCAGACCCTCGTGTGGAATGGCAACAACTGACTTGCACTTAAGAATGAGAATAGTGGCTGACCATAGACCCTCTGTCCAGTAACTGATGGAGCAGATGCAGAGATCCACGGCCAAGCACTGGGCCGAGCTCCAGAGGTCCAGTCAAGGGTAGCGAAGAAGGATTATGTGAGTGTGTGTGCATGCGTGCATGTGTGTGTGTGCGTGTGTGAGATCATGATGGGGCAACACACAGACAGCTGACCTAAGCTTGTGGGAGCTCATGGACTCTGGACTGACAGCTGGGAAGCCTGCCTGGGACCAAACTAAGCCCTCTGCATGTGGGTGGCAGTTGTGTGGCTTGGTCTGTCTGTAGGATCCCTGGCAGTGGGACCAGGATCTATCCCTGGAGCATGAGCTAGCTTTTGGAGCCCATTCCCTATGGAAGGATGCCTTACTCAGTCTTGATCAGCAGGGAAGGCTTGGTCCTGCCTCAATTTGACTCCTCATAGGGAGTCAACAAAGTCTGAGTAGTGGATAGGGGGATGAATGGGAGGTGGGGGGAGTGGGAGGAAGGGAACTGTGGTTGGTATGTAAAATGGATTAAATAAAAGAATGAGAGTAGTGGGAAGAGCATGACCATCAAGGGAGAAACCCGAGTTCATATTGACAGAGAAGTTAAGACATGATGACCAGTCCATCATTGAGAACAAAGTGTTCTTGGTGGGGAAAAAAGAATGTGCATGGACAGAAGGGGACAAAAAAGGATCGTTACCAAGTGTCCAGAAACACAACTGGGAAGTACCTACAGCTTCTGGTAATGTCTCTGGGAGATGGGTATTATCATTGATCTCTGGCTATACACTGGGTGATGCGATGGAAAAGCCCACAGGAGAGGGGACTTAGGAAGCTCAGGAGGTATGTTTTGGGGGATAAAAAGAACTTTCTTATAATCACAGAGCAGGAAAGATAAAGACTCAGAAGAAGAAACAGTAAGGAGGTCTTATAGCTGTTTTCCTTCTGGAGTTTAAAGGAGGAAGGGTTGGATTCGGGGGACCTGTCTTTCCAACAGGGTTTGAAAACCTGGGAAAAGGGGGCAGATCTTATGCTCTGAGCCAGTGACACAAAAGGGAAGCTAGGGTTGTCTTCCAGAGGGCTTTGCTCTGGAGTCTCATGAACTCCATGCAGAGGTTAAGAGTGCTATTTCGTGGGAGCAGGCCAGGCTGGGATGCACCTTTAAAAATAATTTGGCTTGGGCTGGAGAGATGGCTCAGCGGTTAAGAGCATTGCCTGCTCTTCCAAAGGTCCTGAGTTCAATTCCCAGCAACCACATGGTGGCTCACAACCATCTGTAATGAGGTCTAGTGCCCTCTTCTGGCCTGCAGGCATACATGTAGACAGAATATTGTATATAAAATAAATAAATAAATATTTGGAAAAAAAATAATTTGGCTTTAATTTCACCCCAAATGAGAAGAAAATCCCTCTTTTAGGGTATCAGTCTCTCAAATGGCCCTGTGCTTGAGAGAACCAGAATGAGATTTTTTTCTACCTAGAAGCTCTTGGTACTTCTGACCCTTTTATTCCTGGAATACAGGGGCTCCTGGATCAGTCAGAGGTCACTGAAGACCTCAGGTTTTAGCTTCTCAGCCCAGGACTCCAATTTTAATATGGGCTCAAGAAATCTTAGGAGACATAATTCAAACACTGCCAACTCCAAGGTTAAGAACTAGATCTAACGTAACTGAATCTCTCACACCCAGAGTTTCTGCAGTTCTCCAGTACTAGTCCAACACAGCAATAATCTAGAAAGCTGGCTTCACTCTGCAGTGAACAGTGCACCACTTGACACAATCATCCAGAGAGGAAAAGTCTGAGGCATTGTGCTCCTTAAAGAAATGTTTGGATTGTTTTAAGATCTAGAAAAAAGGTTATAGCCTTCTTTCTATTCTGCATTATCTATGGCCTATAACATCCTGTGTACCACAGGTGCTCCTAACATGCTGATTATTAGTGGGTGGTAGTAGGGGTGCTGGTGATATATCAGAATTGAGAGTGTGACCCCAAGTAGACAGGGTTCAAACCCCCACAAGGTCTTAATGTACCACTAACTCCTCACCTACTTTAGACCAAGAATCTGAGTTGTGCCATGCCCGGGACCTGGGTGGCTCACCCTAGTGATGGCTGAGGTTGAGGTCAGTTTCCTCCGAGTCTTCTTGACTTTCCGAAGATCCTCATCTTCGTAGAACAGGTCCTGAGTGGGCAGGAAACAGAATGAGCTGGGAAATTCAAGGAGCCTCTCAAACACTGTACAGAAGAGTCATAGAAAGTTACCTGCCCATGCAATGGGTCATCACTGCCTTCCTGTTCTGAGGAGAAGCTTTCTTCCTCTTCTTCGGAGTAGTTGTCAATATCTGGGGAGCGATCTAGAACAAACACCCTAGTAAGAACCTTGATCTGATTTGATCTAAATGACTTCCAAGAACAGGGATCAATACAACTGGGTTGAGAGGGAAGGGCCACATAGAGTCATGGCCACACATTACTTTCAGGGATCTATAAGGGCCTCTTTCTTGGGCACATTTCATGCATGTCTGACTCAGCTTTTCCAGGATGAAGGCCAGTGCACCGGCTCCCTTATCTTCTATAGTGCCTGCAGACACTGCATATATATTTTTAAAAATTATTTAAAAATTTATTTTATGTGTATGAATGTTTTGCCTGCATGTATTTATATGTGGCACACGTGTATCTGATGCCCTTGGGTGTCAGATCCCTGGGAACTAGAATTATGGATGGTTGTAAGCCACTATGTGGAAGCTTGAAGTCAAATCCAGATCCTCCGAAAGAGCAACAAGAGCTCTAAACTGCTGAGTCATCTCTCCAGCCTCACTGTTTACATCTTACCAGACAGTTTAGACTTGATTCCTTCATGGTCAATGGGCTGGCTGGATAAAGAGTAGATTTTTATTTCTGCCACAGGCACAGAGACATCCTTCACGTTGCTGTGCAGGCCAAGCACCAAAGCACCCTCGTTAGGGTGTTGCATCACCTGTGAGCAAAGTACATAATACAAATACCTTAGCCAGTGCCAGGGTTATCTCTATAACAAACCCACGTGACATGCAAGCCAATGGCAACAGCACTCTTTTATTGTATTTTCCTTCTCACTTCCAAATCTATGCCTATGCCTTTCCTACTGCTTTTAAGGGCTTACTTTAAAAACTATCTGCAGGGGATAAAGACGGCTCAGGGGTTGTGAGTGTCTGATGTTCTTGTAGAGGACCCGAGTTCTGTTCCCAGCACCTATGTTGGGTGGCTTACAACCATCTGTAAATCTAGCTCTAGGTAATCCAACACTCTTCTGGCCTCCTTAGATACGTGTATTCATTGCACATACTGTAACACCCCCCATACTCATAATTTAAGAATAATAATAAATCTTAAAAAGAAAGAAATCCTGCAGTTGTTTCTAGCTAAGCTATTAGCGATGCTGAACCTGGCAATTTAAAACAACAACAACAAACAACAATACAGCTACCTCTAGAAATACCAGCTGCTAATCAGGGCCATGTGCTTACAGACAATAATTGAGGCCGGGCAGTGGTGGCGCACACCTTTAATCCCAGAATTTGGGAGGCAGAAGCATGTGGATCTGTGAGCTTGAGACTAGCCTGGTCTACAGAGTGAGTTCCAGGACAGCCAGAGATATATAGAGAAGCTCAATCTCGAAACAAAACAAAACGAGACAACACAACTGAGGCCTGAGGCTGAAATGGTTGCCAATCTCACGAATACTAGCTTTGAGTCTGGGTAAGGCCAGGCCTGTATGCATGGTTGGTCAGCTGTATGGCAGTGAAAATAAAAGAGCCAGAAAACAGGAAAATGGCAGGGTTTGGCCCAGGTGGAAGAGTGGGATGATGCTGTTAATTCCTCCCCTCATCCTCAAATAAAACCTCAAGAGGTCAGGAAGATGGGTTGGAAGAAGACACATACACATTACCAGAACCGTAACATTTTTCCTATTCTACTTATTATTATTTTTTGAGACAAGTTCTCCCAACCTATCCCTGGCTGTCCAGGAACTATGTGTAGACCAGGCTGGTCTCTAAGTCACAGAGATCCACCTGCCTCTACCTCCTGAATGCTGGGGTGAAAGGTGTGTGCAGCCAAACCCACTGTATTTCATTTATTAAGGTACAGATAATTTAAAAAACTTTCTTTCAGCATCTTTTTTCTTTCTCTTTGGCTGGCATACAGGAGTACTGTGTAAGTGAGCAGACATATCAAGGAAAACGGGAGCTTAGTTTCTTGCTGTTGGAGAAAGGAACTTGAAAGGAAGAAGGAGGAAACAAGACCAGGCCCTATGCTATTGGGTTGGAACAGAAGTAAGCACTGTGTGCTCTGGTGGGATAGCTATGTATAAACAGGAAATGGTCACGGTGTGTTTGTGTGTGGATGAAGGCTGTGTTCATGTATACGCACCTTCTAGTTTTTTAGTTCTTTCAGCAGAAGTTATTCCGGTTACGCAGAGGAGCACTGTTAGTACTCTTTTATCCCGAGACAGGGTCTCGATATGTAGCTCTGGCTGTCCTAGAACTTAATAGTAGACCAGCCCTGCCTTGAACTCATAGAGATCCAGCTGCTTCTCTGCTTCTGCCCCGAGTGCTTGGATTCAAGGCTTGTGCTATCACACCACGCCCAACACTACCTGATTTTTAAAGTACTGTTTGCCACAAAAACACCCAGAAGCCTCAGAAAATCAGCTCATTCAGGACTGGGTCAGGGCAAGAACAAGATAAGCTTGAGCTATTTTGTACCAGAAAGTAAGATGGCCTATAAAGAAGGAAGGGTCTTATCAAAAAGGACACAGAAGACAGCTCGGAAGGGCTCTTACTGGCCAAACTAGAGCATTTTATTTAAGTTAAATTAAAATTTAACCCCATACCAAAAAAAAAAAACCCCACAAGAATCTACAGTCCATAATTGATAGAAATAAGTAGATCAATGGTAAGAGGAGGAAGAAAGAAACGCTCTATTTATCAACTGACCAATACAGAAGGGATGGCTAGTTTAGAAATTCACAGTTTGACAGGCATCAAAATAGTAACTAATTCAGTTCAAAATCATTAACAGGTGGGGGCTAGGGAAATGTATCAGTGGGTAAAATGTTGGCCATGTAAAAGTGAGAACATATGTCTGGATCCTCAGAACTCATGTAAAGACAGATGCAATAGTTCCACAGTAGCATGCTTCTGTGATCCTAATGGCCCTGACACTGAGATAAAAGGTGGAGCCAGGACTATCCCTGGAAGTCCATGGGCCAGTTAGCCTAGAACACATGGATATAAACAACCAAAAGACCCTGTTTCAAACAAGCTAGAAAGCAGAGACCAAACACTTGAGGTTGTCATCTGATCTCCACAAGCATGTCATGGCATGTTTATACTCATATTCATAATACACCTATACATACCCACTCACGCACAGATAAAAATAATTAATACATTAATCAGGGAAAGATACAGTAATATGGTCTCAAATACTTCTATATAAAATATTTTTCACTAAAGAGGACAAAATACTTTTTCTTTTCTTACTATTTTTCTTCCATTCTTTAGTCTTTCAAGACTAAAGTGTAGCCCTGGCTGTCCTGGAACTCACTCTGTAGACCAGGCTGTCCTTGAACTCACAGAGATCCAAGTGCCTCTGCCTCCCAAGCGCTGGGATTAAAGGCGTGCGCTACCACCTTTCACTACACAAATTAACGTGCAGCTGTGCAACCCATACTGTGCTGGAAAGAAGACTGCTTCTTTGGCAGTTATTTTGACAAAAATGTAGATACTGAACTTAATTTAGAGACAAGGACAGAAAAAAACAGACCGAGGAGCATTTGATAAAGTAACTAGCATGTACTCTTCAGGAACCTGCATCAGTGATAGAGCACGCCTTTAATCCCAGAACTCAAGTGGCAGGGAGAGGCCTGTGAACCTCTCTGAGTTCAAGGTCAGACTGGTCTAAGGACAAAGAAACCCTGTCAAAAAATAAAAACAAAAAAGAAACCTACATCACAGTCATAAAAGGCAAAGAAGATATGAAGATCACCTCAGACTGATGGAGAAATGTAACGAACCAACTTCTAGGTCTCACCATGGGTCTTGGAAGTTCACTGAGATATTCTGCACCATGAGGTTGGGGATTGTGAGTTAGACCGAACCTTATATTAGTGTCAACATTCTGACTGTGGGGGCAATGAAGCTTAGGTAGGACAGTATCCTCATGCTTAGAAAATTAAAGTGGTAGAGTATTAATGTGTAATGGTAAAATGGAGCTTCATGCAACTGTCAAACTGCTCAAAAAAACAACAACAAAACCCAGCAGGTGGTGGCACACTCCTTTAGTCCCAGAACCTAGGAAGCAGAGGCAGGTGGATTTCTATGAGTTTCAGGCCACCCTGGTCTAAGCAGTCCCAGGACAGCCAAAGCTATATAAATTCTGTTTCAAAAATCCAAAAACCACAAACAAACAAACCCCATAAAAGAATAGCCACACTATACAGAGAGACTATCTAAGCATAATAATATGCTATGAAGGTAAGTATTTTGGTGACTCTGCATATGGGAATTTTTTCATTATTCCTACTAAAACTAACTTAAAAATACATACATACACACATATGTACATACATACATACATATATATTAAAGTTAGAGCTGGTCCTGATGATGTACCTCTAGTACCAGTTACGTGGAAAGCTGGAGTAGGAGGACCACTTGAGTCTAGGAGTTTGGGCTTAGCCTGGGAGACATAGCAAGACCCATCTCAAAAGAAAGGGAGATAGAGCAACAGCTTAGTGGTTAAGAAGACATGTTTTTAACTAGATTTGGGTTCAGTTCCCAGAACCCACATAGACGTTCATAACCATCCATAACTAGTTCCAGGAGGCACATGATTCAGATATGTATTTGAGCAAAATTTTAATATCCATAAAATAAGATAAATAAGGTTTTTTTTTTTTCAAGATAAGGTTTCTCTGTGTTGCCCTGGCTGTCCTGGAACTTGCTCTGTAGAACAGGCTGGCCTTGAATTCACAGAGATCTGCCTGCTTTGCCTCCTGAGTGCTGGTATTAAAGATGTGCACCATCACTGTCCTGCTATGATAAGTAAATCTTAAAATGAAGTTTAAAAAGTTAAAAGAAAATACTCTTGTGTTAGAAAAAGTAATTGATAAAGCTAGTTACAGAATGAAAATTTTCCAACAAAATAATTAATCTACAAAGAAAAAATGAGTACCTGCCTGCTGGCTGGTGAAATCATTTGCAGGACCACAACAGACTTAGAGGCCTGCAGTCTAAGACTGCATTCTGCTCACCTCTGCCATGTTGATGAGTCCCACAGCCAAGGTTTTATAGCCCAAGATAGTCCGATTCTTGTACCGCTTCCTCCTTTGCAACATAATCTGCAGTTTGTTGGCATCTCGCTTGAGGAAATGAGGGTACTGAAGAGGAAAACAGTTCAGACGGTTAGTCAGCAACTAGGACCTTCATGGGTCAGGTCCTGCTAGAGGACTGTGCTTCAGTTTCTCTTGCTTGTCAAGAGTGACTGGTCAGGCAGCAGTGTTGCACACCTTTAATCCCAGCACTTGGGAGGCAGGGGCAGGTGGATCTCTGTGAGTTCGAGGCCAGCCTGGTTTTAAGAAAAACCACCAGAGGGGCTGGTTCTGCTGGGTACTGGTATGGTTTACCCAAGCTTGGGAACATCTTTCTCTGCTATCTGGACAGGTGTTTCCATGTAGGGTCACAAGGATTATTATGAGAGAGATGCTCTATGAGGGACGAAGAGAGAAGGATGAATACGACCATATTATAGAAGTGAGTTCTTGCTATGGGATAATGCTCTTGTATCCTATCAAGATTTGCCACTCATATTGGTTTAATAAAACACTGATTGGCCAGTAGTCAAGCAAGAAGTATAGGCAGGGCGACCAGACTAGGAGAATTCTGGGAAGAGGAAAGGCTCAGTCTACAGTCACCAGTCAGACACAGAGGAAGCAAGATGAGAATGCCTTACTGATAAAAGGTACCAAGCTACATGGCTAACACAGAAAAGAATTATGGGTTAATTTAAGTTGTAAGAGCTAGTTATTAATAAGCCTAAGCTAAAGGCCAAATAGTTCATAATTAATATAAGCCTCTGTGTGTTTCTTTGAGACTGAACAGTTGCAGGACCAGGTGGAACAGAAACTTATGCCTTACAAGCTCTGTTCTTACTGATTCGGACAGTAAGGAGAGGGGAAAGGCCAAGGGGTAGAGTGGAGACTCAATGGTAGCTGCTAGTCATATATGGCCAGGTAAGGGGAGACTGGGCCTCAGCACCCAACTCATCAGCATATCCAGTACACTGGCTCAAGGACTTCTCAGGCCTTACATGTTAGCCTTTATTTAGTGCATAGGTGACTTGTTTTCTTTCCTGAAGCTGGGCTCTAGCAGTTTTTGGAGGAAAAAGTTTCAAGACTATTTGAGGACTAGACTATTGTAGCATATTAGAAAACTTATACATTTAGAAAATTCTGACCTGAAGGGAGAAGGTTAACTGGAGCTCTGTTTCTACCAGGCCACTTGCTGGAAGGATGATCTCATTGGAGCGAAGAATCCTTTTTGAACCCTGAAACAAACAAACAAACAAAAACCTTCTGTCAAAGTGGTGTCACTAAAAGTCAGACCAAAAGAAGAACAACTATCATGCTGTGGACACTCAGGATTTGTGAGTGTCCTCCCCACAGGTTTGCTGTGCTGTGGGACACTCGGGATTGATAAATGCCCTCCTCCACAGGTCTGCTTCAACTCTTGTTCTGCTAGGCTTATTTGGCAAATTACAATTATTTTATATTTATTTATTGCCATTTTTTGTGATGCCGAGTATTGAAATCATGGTTTTGTATGTGCCCACCACTGATCTACACTCTTAGCCCTTTAGACTATTTTAGATACAAATGACTAAATTTATGGCCTCCATCTTGAGTGGGGTAAGTAACATTGCCTAGGAACCATGTCATGTCTTAAGTACATTCTCTGTAATCTCTCTCTCTCTTTTTTTTTTCTTTTCAAGACAGGGTTTCTCTGTGGCTTTGGAGCCTGTCTTGGAACTACCTCTTGTAGACAAAGCTGGCCTCGAACTCCCAGAGATCGCCTGCCTCTGCCTCCCGAGTGCTGGGATTAAAGGTGTGCACCACTGCCGCCCGGCTCTCTTCTTACATGACATACTATACCTTCTCAGTGTCCCTAACATCAGACCCTTAACACTCCTAACCTTGATCCTCTTCACTGAGAAAGCTGGAGCAGCTCCTACCTCATAAACCTGCCACTGGGCTCCTATCCTCACAGTATCCTCCCTTCCCTTCTGTCACAGATAACTACCCATGTTCCCATCTGAGGCTGAGGGAGCACCCTGCCTGGGGACTAAACTCCTTCTAAAGGCACTACTGAAGCCATTCTTTTCACATAATCAATGTTCCTCACTGTCCTAGATCATTCTAATAAGCAAATGCGCTATTATTTCCAACAAAGCAAACAAACCCCCTCCTGGCCTCATGGGTGTGTCTTTTCATAGTTAGACGTCTTTTCTTGAGTCCCCCTACTCCCATTTCTCCTAATGTCACGTTTGCACCATCAAACTACCACTGCAAGATGGGTGACTCTCTTAATGAGTCTGATGGCCTAGGTCCCTTCTTGTTTTTTTGATTTCCTCTGTCACTGGAGGTACTCTCGTTCTGAGTCCTTCCAGACTTCCTGGCACTGGAGGGTTAGAATTCTATTTCTATTCACTCCCTTTACTCCTGTTACTTCCCGGCCCTCTTTCCTGACACTCTCGTCTCCACTGTTTCACTAGCCCTCAAACAACACAGTAAACTGCATTTCAGGTTTTCCTAGAATCTGCTCTACCCCAGTCCTCCCTGTCTCACTAGACAGCAGATTCACTCTCTCAACTCACTGAAGTCTTCTCAGCCAACCCCGTCTCTTACCCAAATCACCACCAGCATAAGGAGTGTTATTATCTAGCACTCCTGATTCCCCACTTTGAGTCACAGGGAACAAGAGCTGGGTGGGGGACTCTGCCTTTAAACTCTACTCCTCCCTGGTCTCACTGACGTCCCTTTCCTCTCAATTCTGTTAGACATACCAGACCCAACAAAGCTAGAGAAGTCAGAGAACCTAGAGTTGGCTGTGATAGACAAAAACAGGCCACAGCTAGACATTTGAGAGCCGGCCGGCTGGCTGTGTAGGGCTTTCTGGCTGGCTTTTCTCTCTACCTAGAAAACGCCTCTTGAATCTGTGTAGCTCACTATCTTGGTTTTGCATAAACGTCATCTTCTTAGTGAGGCCTACATCCATCACCACCTGTAATCCCTTCATCCCTTTATCTTGTAATTTCTCCAAAAGTCGTATCACTTTCCAAAAAGTAGCAGGCCTCACTATCTGAACTTCCATCATCTAAATATATGCTGTTAAGAACTGTAAAAAGAGCCGGGCGGTGGTGGCGCACGCCTTTAATCCCAGCACTTGGGAGGAAGAGGCAGGCGGATCTCTGTGAGTTCGAGACCAGCCTGGTCTACAAGAGCTAGTTCCAGGACAGGCTCCAAAACCACAGAGAAACCCTGTCTCGAAAAACCAAAA